CTTCCACACACTTGGAAATTACAATCCATCAGAATTGATGCTGGGCAAGGGCTAGTAGAGAACCCCAAATCCCTTCTCATTTTACAAAGACATGGGAATTGTAAATGGCTGAAATGGACAGTTTTGTGCATCCCCAAGAAAGGAGCACAAACAGCCCTGAAGACAGCTGTGTGGAGTCAATAAAGACCAAAGGAAAAAAAAAAAGGGCTATGGGGATCTGGAGACCAGCATGCATTTTAGCATGAGTGCATGTACTCTGGCATAGGCTCCGTGGCCCAAGGGTAGGTTAGGCATTTACTTGTTCAAAGATCCGTATGTAAAATATGTGACAACCCCATCTAACACATTTATCATGAGTGAACTTTGTTGCACAGAAAAAGATGGAGATTCATTCTCATGAATTGGATGGAGCGACATTTAAAGCAAACCTACTGTGGGCTAATCACAAACTTAGCTCCAAATCTTCTGGCAAGTAATACACAAATAGAAAACAGGATATGAAATATCCATGAAGTAAAAATAAGTCAATAGCTCAAGGGAACGACAGCTTTTCTTGATACTAAGATCCTGAAGGATTCTCCTGGGCATCATTATAAAAGAAAAATATAAAGAAAAGGAAAGAAAGAAAAATAGTGTGATATGCTGACTGTAGTGATGTATATGACATTCTTACTACAAAATCAACTAAAACTTTCTTAGGCTATTTCTCCTCACATCTGCTCTGCTTTGGATATGCGGTGTTCAGAAAGCTCACAACAGACAAGGCAAGAATGGGCAGGTGTGATGTGATTAGATCATGAGAGCTGTGACCTAATCAGTGGATTAATCCACCTGATGGATTAATAACTAGAAAAAACTACTGTGCTGGGTGACAACTGTAGACAGGGACAGCATGGCTGGAGGAAGTGGGTCACAGGGGGTGTGCCTTTGGGCTTTGTATCTTGTTCCTGGCACCTTTATAATTGCTCTCTGCTTGCAGGCTGCCCTAAGCTGAGCAGATTTCCAGTGCATGCCCTTTTGCTATGATGTTCCACATCACCTCAGGCCCAGGGAGATGAAGCTGCTGACCATGGACTGAAACCGGGAGCCAAAATAAACTTCCCTCCTGTAAGTGCTTGTCAGGTATTTTGCTGACTAACATAGCATCCAAATAACCTGAACACACAGCACAACACAATGAAATGCAGTTACAACATATCCCCCAGGCAAGGTCTTGGGAAAAGCACTCAGATTATTCCACCTGAGCCTGGTACCCGTTCAAGACTGTCTGGAAAGACAGAGCAGGGAGGATACCAGACTCACCTCTCTGAAGACCACGGCTCTCAACTTCTCCCTGAGAGAACAGAAAGTCCCAGTGAGCTAGGTACTGCTTCTCCCTGTAACACGCTTTGGGTCTGGCACAGGCGTGACTTCTGGGTGACCACCACCAAGGCAAGGCAAGGAAAATAAGCTTTGTTGGGAACTGAGGAGCCAAATTAGAGGAAGTGCCAACAAGAGCCTGCCCCAGGTCCACTCAGAAGTGAGATGATCAAGAACTGGACGGGGAAGGATTTACTCAGAAGACTGTTTCCAATAAGCTCACTAAGAACACATGACTAATTCAAGCCCCCCCAGTTTCTCTTTGACTGCATCACAGGGGATTAAAAAAAAAAAAAGACAAGACTAAATCTGCACCCACCCAGGACAAAAATGACCAACTTTAAAGAAAAACATTCTGGTAAACTACTCAAAGGTATCTAAATTTAAGCTACTCTACTTATTAGAGGTGATATAAACAGGCAAGACCATAAGGCAATTTGTAGAAGGGGATTATGATTTATAAGCGATTTAAAGTGACCACACCTGGAATTCCATTCGAGGTCACAATCCCATCCTAAGCATGGAAGTACCTCTAGTTAATTGAAACCCTTGCAGCACATGGAGGATAACTGTCCTACATCCCCCCAAATAAGACTTTCTGTTTATCCAGTAATTCTACTTCTAGGAATTTACCTCAGCCATAAGCAAGAATTGAGACGTACGAGACGTACCGACTTACTGCATTCTTCATCAAGCTCCTAACTATTTTCACGTCTGTCCGTTCATGACAAATTAAACTTTATTCCAACACTGGAATTCTGTGCTATCAGAGGGAATGTGTCTATATGGGCTTTATTTGGCATATTTCAATGATATTTATTAAATACCAAATGACTAAAGCTAAATGCAAATATATACATGATATAGTTTATATAGTGTGTGTGTGTGTGTGTACGTGTGAATGTGCATGTGTATTTACGTGTGAGAGTGTTTGTATGTGTGTGTGTGCTGAGAAACTATCATAACCAACAATAAACAGATTGTGCACACCACATTCAAAGAGCCTCTTGAACCACAGTCTCAACTTGCCCTCCTCCACATGAAGGGACAGACAGGCCTGGCTTCATTTCCAAACCACTCTCCCCTGTGAACAGTGCAGGGCAGCTGGTCAGAAGCAAGCCCAGGCACACTCTTTCCTCCCCCACACACAGCTGTCCTCGGGTAGAGTGCTTTTGTTGTTGCTATTTGGTATTTTTCAAATTACTGTAAAAAAAAAAAAAAAGTCAACTTAGGAGCAAACCCAAGGTCATGCATCGCAAGGAGGCAACATCCCAACCTTGGGAGCCATGCTTCTCTGGCAAAGGGCTCAAATTCTTGCTATTGTTGCCTCAGTTCATGACTCTGCCCCATGCTCTGGGCCAGCCCAGCAATCCTCACAGATGCCACCTATGGATGGGCAATTTGCTTGCTTATGACCTTTTTTTTTTCTTTTTGGTCCTGGGGATTGAACTGAGGGGCACTCACCTAGTGAGCAACATTCCCATCCCTATTTTGTATTTTATTTAGAGACAGGGTTTCATTGAGTTGTTTAGCACCTTGCCATTGCTGAGGCTGGCTTTGAACTTGCGAGCCTCCTGTCTCAGCCTCCTGAACCACTGGAATTAAAAGCCTGTGGCACTGTGACTGGCTCTGATTATAATCTTAATATAAATGTCCTACTTCTCTCCATTCATGCTTTTCAACACCTCCATTTTCTAAGATTATCATCAGGACACAGAAGAGCAGCCACAGAACACCCAGGGAGCCTGAGTATTCACCTGGGACTTACGTTCAACAAACCAAACCTGTCACTCATGATAATCAAACCTGTCCATTTTGTAGCACACCATTATGAACTTGTTAATTTATCATATATTGCTTGTACTTTTATAAAATTTACTGTGCACCAAAATCACTGGATCAAGGTAAAGTCAGATAGACTCCAGCACCCCTGAATAAGCACAAGATACAGTATCTGACTTACTATAGGGGACATGTCTTACCAGGATTCAGTGGATGATGGGCAGCAAAGAGAATGACATCACCACAATGCTGAAAACCTTTTTTTGTATTTACCATCAGCTTTTCTCCAAAATAAAGCTGCATTCTATTTATTCTAATTGTGATATTTAATCCTTTGCAACTTTTAGCAGCTACTGCTTCTGTGTTGAGCGAGGGTAGAATATTTAAGTTTGTTGGCATGCAGTTATGATCACATTTGCCTAAACACAGTATTGCATTTGCAATTCATCTGTAGATATTTCATCAAGAGCATTACATTGGCCAAGATGCTGGGTTCAACCAATAGTTGCATTTGGGTTATCATCACAAACATCATTTTTCTTTAATGTTTAGATTTTAATTGTATTTTCAGTGACATTTATAATAATGTCAGATATGTGATTTTTAAGGGAATGAAGTTTACAAAGAATTACCCTATTTTAATTTACCAAATGATAAAAACAACAGTGCAGTTATTAAAATCATCTTAACTCATTTTTTTTACATGAACAATCAGACGATATCACTGAACAGTTTGAAAAGTTTCCTTGTTTCCAATGGAACCAACTTTAACAGCAATGATTTTTATTATTATTTTTTGGTATATTCACAAAGTCATTGAAATCAAAAATGAGTGAAACAAATTTGGAACAAAACTCAATTGATCTAAATAAAAGGCCATGTTTCTGCAATTGGGACTATTAATTCATCATTTTTAGATGGAGTCGGCAGTCAGTGATGCCACTAAGGCTCTCATGGTGGATGATTAAATGTCAAAAATACTTTAGTCAAGTTCTACAATCATTATCTGCTTTGTAGAGGAATGAAAACGCAATAGCTAATTTTTCATTCGACATGCACTTCTGCTTTTTGAACTTTTGGCTTCCAGAGTAAGTTTATTGCAGAAGAAAGACAAGAAGAAGATGAGGAGAAGAAAAAATTGTGAAAGAAGGTGAGGAGGAGGGGGAAGATAAGGAAGAAATGATCAAACAATAAAATAAGATCAAAGATTTACATCACAAAATTAATGACAGGGCTACCCCAGGAAGAAAGTCCAACCACTCTCCTGATGCTCCTCGGCAGTGCCGCTCGGTCCTGCAGCTGCAGCAACTCAACAGCACCTGTCCTCTAATTCTCCCTGCTCCCCACTGGCCTTGGCAGCTAGCAAACAAATGCCTGGCAGGAAAATGTCAGCAAACATTTCTCCCCCATCCATCCAAGAGGAGGACAAATTCACCATCCTGACCAGCACTCACACCCAAAACTTTCCTGTCACCAACAAGTGTCCTGCACGCTGTCCTGGGAAGGGAGGTGCTATTTTGTGATGGGAAAAGACTAGAAGAACACAGGTTATCCCTGTCTGGCATTCACGTGGAGTCACATGAAAAGGAGAGATGTCTGCGCATGACACATTATCCGATTCCCTGGGAGAAAGTGCAATATTTTTTATGAACTCCACATGATCATCTGGAGATTCACAAAATGTCTGATACACTGATGTGTGATCTCTCTTTGAACCTCTCAAATAGAAGTGGGCACCTGATCCACCAGTCTTCTCACAGAAGGTGCTAGCCCAGTGGAATGATGGGATGGAATCCTAAATCATAACCGATTTGCTGACTCAGAGATGATACCCTGAAAAGACATGTTCATACCTTGAATCAACAGCACATGGTGTCTTGTTCTCCAGTTGGTAGAATGCACAGTTCCAAAGATCATCAGTCCTCATGACCCAACTTCTCCTCTTCATTAATCTTGTCTCTACAAGTGTAGAAGTTCTGGTTGTCAGAAGGAATAATATTTATCCAGGGCCCAGAGGAAGTTTCCCATCTAACTTAAAGCCCCTTGTCACCTTGGGCTCCAAATACCTGTACATAGAAGGCAAAGAAGGGAATGTTCATATTGGTCATCCTAAGGAGATGGGATTGTTGTTAAAGAGAGGAATAGTACAAAAATACTAGGGGATCCTAGTATTGAATACAGGTTATCCCTGTTGGGCATTTGCATGGAGTAACACTACCCAGCTTTATTGAAACTGACCAATTGAGCCATCTAACCTAAAATCTTAGAGCAAAGCCAAAGAAAAGATGAATGATCATGAACTAATAATACCATATATCAAGGCAAAAAAAAAATTCATTTTGATTTGCTCTGGATTGGAGCAATTTTCCTCCAGGTCTACTTTGGACTTTTAATTACTCTCTATTATCATTAATAGTTGCTTTACCAGAAGCATTAATTTGCCATTTGGAGCACTAGGACAATGGCAGATAAAGCTGCTCAGGCTCAACATAACATTTTGCAAAGAGATCAGAATGCTGCATAGATGGTTATTATTTTTTTTTTTACAAAATTGCTTTCAAGACAAATTGAATTTCATTGCTTGAAATGAATTTTTATGTTTTTGCAGAGAGAGGACAAATGGGTGTCAGCCATTACAAAGTACATGGCAATGACATAATTGAAGAATTCAAACAGATTTTTATACATAAGATGTAATGCTATTTTTGTATGAGCATTGGGAGGTCTGTGTCAAGGTCCAAACATGATTCATCACTGCAAAGCACAACTGACAAAATTAAGATTACAATGTGTTTCAATGTAGAGACAAAGAGGTTAATTCTCATGGTGACTGCAATTTTTCAATTTCAAATGCTAAGACTGCCTTGAAGTCAAATGAATTAAGATGTTTCCAAAGATTCCACCCTACAATCCAAATGTGTCCAACAATATTGATTATTACCAGTATAAAACAGGATTTCATTAAAAGTGTAACCAGTTGATAAAGATATGTGTAATGGAAAGTAGGCAGTATCTTTCCACTAAGGAGGCTGCACTAAGTCCTTGCCTGGATGTTCCCTTCCACGGAGGGATGGCAACCAAGGCAGGATGGATGCTTCTCATTACAGTGAATTAGACTCCCCACCTGACCAGCATTGGCTTGGAGGTGGATTTGTTGTGGGTAGCGAAGGAAAAAGAAAAATAAAGAATGTCTTCCTGATTTTTCACTTGAGCTACTAAGTGGATAACAATGTCGGTTCTGAAATAAAGGAGACTGGGAGGAAAAGCATTGGAAATTCATCATAAATACAATTTCCTTCTTTTTTTTTTTAAAGAGAGAGCGATAGAGAGAGAGAGAGAGAACTTTAATATTTATTTTTTAGTTTTTCGGCGGACACAACATCTTTGTTGCCATGTGGTGCTGAGGATCGAACCTGGGCCGCACGCATGCTAGGCGAGCGCGCTACCCTTGAGCCACCTCCCCAGCCCCTCCTTCTTCTAATTCTATTTAGATCCAGAAGCTTTGTTTGGGTCATATTTGGAAAATGGGCCATTTGAAAGGGATATATAGTCAGGCCCTCTGTATCTGAGGGCTGACTACATCCTTGGATTTAACCAACTGAAAACTGAAACATTTTTAAAATATGTTTGTACTGACCACGTACATGGGTACGTGGTCAGTACATGGGTACAAGAGGGTCTGCATATATTAAATGCAATTTCTTGACATTTTACATAAGGGATTTGAGCATCTATAAATTTTGGCATTCATGCAAGGTCCTGAAACCCATCCCCATAGATACTGAGGAACTCTACTTGTCTTTTTTTTTTCTGTAATTCTCTTGCTCAGACTATTTATGTGAAACATTACATACAGTAATTCTACATTTTTCTGCCTTCTACTCATTCACCAATGTCTCTCAGATTATTTTTATGACTTTTAAAAAATTTCCTTTCAAGGAGTGGTGATGTTGTAGTCTCAATTTCAACTAAACTCCTCAACCTAAGTGGTTGCATGCATTTGAAGGTTGGTGTTTCAAAGATCAAACTTACTGATAGAAAATAGTAGCTTTTTTATGTAGAAGAAGTTATACAAAGAGATGTAATACATCCAGCACCAGACGTGGCCCTATTTATGGCCAAGAAAAGATAAGGTAATAAGAAGAGAATTACAGCATCTGGCTTTCCTGGCTTTCTGTTTCCAAATATCGAGTCTGTGGCCTGCCCTTGACTCACTTCAGTTTTATTCCTTTACATCCCTAAAGGTGGTCCTCAGTAAAAGAGGCTTTTCCTTCCTCTGTAATCTTTACAAGCAACAGAATGGACTTACCATTCAGCATGAGTTAGGCCAGAAGATGAGATCTGGCTGCTGCTTCATATCTAAAACAGTCCCAAGAAATTGGGCCACTCAGAGGGAAAGCAACGAGTAATATCACAGGTGCCGCGATCTGACTGTGAGGATTCCGCTGAAGTGGGTCTTGAGACAGTTCTCCCTCCCAAGGAGTTGATAGCCTTCGAGGAAAAGAAAGGGAGAGAAGAAAGCCAATATCACAATATGGTAGCAACATAACAGAAAGCTAATACGGTTCACAGGGTCCTTAAACTTGACAACAACTCTTTTTGAACCAAATATTGAGTGTAAAGAGACCAGAAAAGCTAGAAAAGTCACACAGTTGACAGTGAGGTTGGCAGGATTGAGACCCACTTCCTCAAAATGTAGAGATCCTGCTTCCACTACTGACTCAGGAGGAGAGATGAAAGAGCAACAGAACTTGGTCTTAAGGAATGCAATTCTTTTCAGAAGAGGAGGTAAGTTCACCCCACATTAGAGAACTAAGCCCTTACCTACAAAAAAATAAAAATAAATTATTGGGAGTTTAGCAGTCAGAGTTCTTCAGAGAAACAGAACCCATAAGATGTGTGTATGTGTGCACATGCACACACACTCATGTACACACAAGGTTGTGCACAAAGAGAGGTTATTCTAAGGAACAGAATTGTCAAGACTGACAAGTTCAAATTTTCAGTGTGGATGAAAACTGAGTGAGCAATGGTGCAGTTCTGGCTCGAAGACTAGCAAGTGAAAACCTGGGAGAGCTGAGGATGCAGCTGAAGTCCAGGGGCTCTTAGCTGGAGAATTAATTATCTTTTGCTCCAAGAGGCTAGAGCTTTTACTCCATCAAAACTTAAACTGATTGGATGAGCCATTTACTTTTTTGGAAGGCATCTGCTTTATTCTGATCTGCCAATCTAATTATTACTCTCATTTTAAAAACACACCGAGACTACAGTTTGACTAACAATCTGGGCATGTTGTGGCCCAGCCAAATTGATATATATAAAATTAGCCATCATAAGGGTCTTATGATTAAAAAAAAAAACCACTAAGGGAAGGATTGCACAAGTTGGGACCCAGGTAAGATAATAAGGGTACATGGAAGGCAAATATAAAATACAGGCAAATATGTGTGTATGTGCGTGTGCATGCTTGGCATGGCAAAAGACAAATTTCTCCATTCTTCCCCCAACCAGTCTGCCAAGGCTCAAGAACCACACATCATGCAGAATTATCCCAGTCAGTCGGTGGTTCTCTCCAGACACTGTGTCAACAGGATGATGCTGTCTCGGCTAAGAGAAAAGCATCCAGAGAATGGCAATTCTACATGAGCCTCAGAGCTCCCCTTGCTGAATGTTATGCTCAACACCAGAAATCCTATCTACCCATCTTCATAGCTTTAAGAGCTACCCACCTCTTAGCTACTTCTAAATACCTGTAAAGAATGGAAGGTCGCCCTGCCCACGAGTTATCTCAGGCTTTTGTTATATTCCACCAGTTATTTAAAACCATTGTTTTTAAATGCAAATCTGCCTTTGACCCTATCTCACTTTGACCTCCTTAACCACAATGCTAATACTTGTACAATCAAGGAATCCATGTTGTTTTTCATGACTTTTTCTCCTTGATTCTCTGGATTCCACATGACTCTTATTTTCACTCACTACATTGAGCATTGCTCTTCCAAAATCTGCCATTTTCCAGATCCTTTTCCGCTCTTGTTTCCCAATGGTCCCAAGAAACAAAACAGCAGAGACAATAGTCACCCAGGGAATTGCGGTGGGAAGCTTGCTGAATCATCATTACAGGCAGTGCAGAATGACCAGTCCTGCCTCAGAAATTGTTTTCCAAATTAGAGAAGACTCACAGGAGGAAGGCTGAGATAAAGAATGATGCCAACACCTTGGAAAGGGATCCCACTTCCCATCAGATCATCCCTTGTAACAGGATTTAAATTAATTGTGAATTGTTTGCAAGGGCTACTAGAGCTACCTAACAAGCTTGTTAGGGGGATTTAACAGCATGTCAAAGCTAACACGTATACAGCATTACCTAATATAAAGGAACTCCAAATAAGTGCTAAAATAAGCAAGAGAGAAATCTCAGACACAAACCAGCAGCAGACCATGAAGAATCTACCTGACTTGATCCTTGATCCTTCATAGAGACAAAGGCCACCAACTGATGTATGAGCAGATTGAATGTCTGTGTTTCTTCCTCTTTACTAAATGTCTTTTACAGCATTATGCTGTCTAAGCTTCCATTTCCTTTTCTCTTTCTTCCCCCTTATATAAATATTCATTCAGTTCCAACCGTATGCCAAGGATGGTGAGGTTCAGACAGAACTGATTGTTGACCAATGAATTTCTAAACACCTAGTGAGGTCATGACAGAATGACTAGTTAGGGGTGGCATGTGATAAACAGGAAAACCAGGTAAAAGATGGAGCATTCTTTATATCTGAATGAATGCTTCACAGTCAGTTTATATCCTTCTAAACACAAAGGGAAAATTTTTACGAGTGTGTAATTATTATGGTTTGGATACAAAATGTCCCCAAAAGACACATGTGTTGAAGGCTCGTTCTCAATGCAGCAATGTTCAGAGGTGGGGCTTTTGATATATGATTGGATCATGAGGGCTCTGATCTCAACAAAAGATTAATCCATTAATAATTAAACGATCTACTGGGAGGTGATAGAGGTGGGAAGGGGACCTGGTTAAAGGAAGTGGGTCCTGGGTGTCACGCCCTTAGGACTACTATATCCTGTATCTTGTACTTGTCCTCTCTCCTCTCTCTCTCCTCTCTCCTCTCCCCTCTCTCCTCTCTCCCTCTCCCTGTCTTGAGCTAAGCAGTCTTTCTCTGTCACGCTCTTCAGCCGTGATATTCTGCCTCACCTCAGGTCCAAGGCTATGGGTCCCATGAAACATGGGCTGATCTCTCTGAAACTATTTTTTTCAAATCAAACCATTCCTCCTTTAAGTTGATTTTCCTAGGTATTTTTCAGAGCAACTAAATTTGACCAAGAGTTATGTGCAGTCGTGAGAATTTCTGGGAGTCAATTTATAGCTACACGAATATCATCAATTTTCAGAAAATGTAACGACTTGAAACGACAGTATTCATCATCTCACAGTTTGGGGGGTCAGGAGTTTGAATGGCTTAGCTGAGTCCTCTGGCTCAAGCTGTCTTCCCAGGCATCACTCAAGCCGATGGGTGGGGCAGAAGTCTCCCAGCTCAACTGGGCAGGAGTCTGCCTCCAAGTTCACGCACGTGGCTGTCCACTAGAGTCGGTTCCTTGTGCATGTGAAACGGGGCCTCGATTCCTTGCTGGCTGTTGTCCAAAAGCCACCCGCATTCTCTTGCCACCTGTGGTCTCCTAACCTGACAGCTGGCTTTCTCAGAGCAGGAAGGCAGAGAGTTCCAGGAAGATGAACGTTTCAGCCTTTGCTATGTGCCTTTTGTTAGAAAATAAGTCAGGAGGTTCACCCTCACTCCAGGCAGGTCAATGCCAATTCCATCCTCACAATTAAAGGTTAAAAATATGGCTCTAAAGTGTGTTTATCAGAACTTCAGGAATATACATTGATGGTGTGTATTTTCTAAATGAACTCTGTACATAAACTTAATGCCCACCCAAGGTTGTAAACTATGACTTTCTTTAAAAACTATTCAAAGGAAACACTGAAAGACCATATTAAATGATGCGTTGGATAATTCTGTGACAGACATATTTTGTCTACCTGCACACAATTTTGACAATCCTATGACTTCTATGCTATTATGACCTCACCTTTATAAATGGTGAAGATGAAACATAGAGGATTTGTATAACCTGCCCACAAACACTTAACAAATGAAAAGAGTTGTCTGAGATAGTCAGCCAACTGTGGTCATCATCTTTCCATCACTGACAAAAATACCTGAGAAAAGGAGGAAAGGTTTATTTTGCTCATAGTTTCAGATTTGAAAACCCATGGCTACTTAACCCCATTGGGGCTGTGGCAATATAGAACAGCATTGCAGGGACGATCTTGAAGAGAGCAAAGTTATGCACTCTGTGTGGGCCAGAAAGCAAAGAATGAGAGAGGGGGGCCTACAAACAAAATATACCCTTCAAGGGAATGCTCCCAACTAGGCCTTCCCTCCCAAAATTTCTACCACCTCCTGACAGCCCATTAAATCATGAATCCATTCTTTGGGTCATAATCCTCATGATCCCTTTCACCTCCAAAGTCCCTGATCTTATCTTTGGAAGGGAAAACCATCAGTTTGTGTGTAGTAGGAAAAAGAAAGGAGAAGGGAATGGTGAAACAGAGAGAACAACATGAGGAAAGGCCTTCAGACCTGGATGAGACTCGTCGGAAGGACAGGAGCGAAATGTGTAATCCACATTCCTCTTCTGATATAAAGTAGATACATTTGCTAAGTTGTCAAAAGGCTAAAGTTTGCAGATCTGAGAACTTTCATGAATAGGCAAAGTGATTTTTCAGTTGAAAGAACCAAAAAAAATCTTTATGTTGTGTTGTTCACACAATATTTGTGAGGGCCCAGGAGAGAGAAGAGAGACTTTTAAGGGTCAACCCAGCAGTGCTGGTGGTACATGGGCAGGAGTAGAAATCTGTATGAGGAGAACAAGAGAGGAGAGAGCACTCTGACTTGGACATACAATCCGAGGCCAGGAAAGTACCTGTGAAAGAGCGTGACATTGGCAGAAGATCTACCACGAACCTACAATGTCACCAGGAGCTAATGCTGGCTGTGAACCACATAGAGGGGAAGCAGCCGCACCTGGAGTGTTGGCAGGTATTCTAGTATGTGTCTCTTAATCTTTCTAAAGTATACCTTCCTCATCAGCAAACTGAGGACAAAAATCCTTACTTGGTAGAATTCCTGTGAAAATTAAACATGCACATGAGAAGTGGCCACTAAATTAGAGCTATCATCGTGACCATATGGTCCTCACAGAATGCACACCAGACAAGCATCCTGGCTGCGCATCCTAACAGGTCCACAAACATCAGGACCACCACTGTCGTGGAGGATGCTGAAGCATCTGCCAGATAAACTGATCTCTGGCTGTGCAGGTGAAAAGCTTATAAAGATTGCAGGGTGTTATCTGAGGGATTTCCACTCTTCCAGCAAACTTCCTGAGATCCAGAACCATGAATCAGT